CCGCCCGAAGCTTTCCCTGACCCTACAATTCCACCTACACCCTATTCCTTCAAAAATTCAGACCAATTCATGACGGCATTGATTCTTATTACAAAACTCCGAGAGCAAGGCCAAACTATTCAAGAACTTCATGGGCTGGTTGCTTCAATGAACCAGCAAATTGCTATGCTAAACCAAACGGTCCTCACTCTTCAAACGACGGTCACTGAACTCAAAGAGCGTCCTTCCCCTCAAACTACCTACGCTTCGAAGGTTGCTTCCAATCTCCCAACCATCCCTTTGACCGCCATGTTCAAGCAAGTCATTCGGGACGAACAGGCTTCTTCAGAATATGAACGTCAAGTATTCATACGAGGAATGCCTGAGGGTCTTACGCCCGATAAGGATGCCGTTGTCCAAATCTCTGGACAATCCACGCCCACAAAGGTTTTTCGTCTAGGGGGCGCAAGACTCCCAACTTCCAACGCACCCCGTCCCGTCATTGCTGTCTTCGAGAATCAGACGGAGGCACAGAATTTCCTGAAAACGGTCAATACCCCGAAAAACCGCTCGTCGGGACTCCAGGCTCGCCCGAACTACTCACCTTCCGACACGCTCTTGTACAAGCAGGCCTGGAAAGAAGCCATCGACAAGAACAACCAAGAGAAGCGAGCGATCTGGACAGTGAGAAACTGCAAAGTTACTCGTCGCCAATATCCTCAGGGCACGGAACCATCCCCATGGACAGTTCGCCCAATCAAAAATTCAACTTAATCCAGCTACTTCTACGTCCCATTCGCTCCATACGCTACTTATTAATTCCTGCTTGCTCTACCCTAATATCTCTAGTCTAAATGCCCTTCTATTATTCAACCATTACGATTTTCTTCCTGGGCTCATTGAATCGCCGACCATCGCTGAGCCTTTCAGCGTTCACCAGTCAATCGATTTCTATATTTTGCTTAGTCACCATCGGCCCATTCCCCTCCCCACAGGCTAAGAGATTTCCTCCGTGCCTCCTTTGAAGAAATAAACCGGCGAATAGCGGGGACCAATCGGAACACTATCGCAGAAGAAATTCGAAGAACATCTATTCGCTAATTTTGTGCCCTGGGTGTCTTGCTATGCGATGACTTCAGCTGCTCGCCAAATGTGGTAGAGGTGACAAATAAAGCAGTTCGCTGCTCTTTTTATATTTAAAAAAGAAATTTTTCATGGCAAAATTCCAAATTTCTGCTCTAGAAACAATTCAGCAAGACTTCGCTCGACGTGTATGCTACCGGTCGCGTAGGTCTCCTATTGTTCGGCATGTACTCAATCCAATCTCGAACCATTGAACCATAGGAAAACCGCGGACTTTCTTTTTATTTTTCTTTCACAAGATTCCTTCTCATATGTCTGAAAATACTTTCTTTAATGCTGCCCCTCTAGAACCCGTGGTCCTAAAACCAAAACCAAAATCAGCCCTATACTTGCTCAAAAAACCTCTGTCAAAAGCTTTCTTCTCCTCTCGCGTAGATGCTCCCTTAAATTCTTGTCCCCAAACTGCCATTATATTCCGTCTAAAGTCTTTAAAAATCATCTTTCCCGACTTATCCACATCTCCTATCTACTAATGGTGTTCTCGTCATTCTACTCTTCTATTCCATTCCCCCTCTTTCACATCTTCATAATATTTACAATTAATCATAATTTTCCCCTTATTTATCTATCCTCTCCACCACTCTATTTACACCTGATTCCTCACACTGTAAGAGTTGACTTTGTGAACCTTGTGTTGAGAATAAATATTATATTATTATTATTATGTATTAGAAATCGTAAAATACGCATTGTAAGCCTTATTTTTAAGATTTGAATTGCATCTTAACTTAAGTTAAATTTCATTTTGGAATCAGCATTAAAAATGGAAGATTTTTTAGAGCAATTAGAAACTTAAGATTAGGCTTATAGATACCGTTCATTCAGCTCTAGAATAGAATATTCCAAAACACATTCTTCGTAACTATCCGTATTCCTGATCTCCGATCTACCGACGATAACTACGCGATTTTCCAATTTCCCCCAGTTCCCCGACAACCACCTCCCAAAAAATGGGAAAATTTATGGGCGCAAGGCAGGCAGGGCACCAAAGACGACTTTCCGCAACACACCGCTGCAGCTATCTTTTTTTAGCGTTTCCGGAAATGCTTCAGACGATTTGCACGACTCGAAACCAAGGGGTCATCTTTTTCGCGACTCGGGGGTAGGTAACCTAACGCGCCGAAATTTGACTCCGCGGAACGCCAAAGACTAAACTTTTCGAGGCGCCGCCCATTTGGATGGGCCGGAGGATAAGTAGTCGAGGGCAGATTAGCACCCTTGCACGACTGGCCACGCTGACGTTTGGGGGCGCTAATTTTGGAAATTGTGGTGTTGCGTCGCTTCAAAGGTTCGCTAGTAATTTCAGGGGATTTAAGGGGTATAATTTGCCCAAATTTCCGCATCTAAAGATCGCTGGGCGAAAACCGATCGTAATGCTATTTTGAGAGTCGTATCCTGGTAAATAGGGGGCCTAATGAAAGTTTTTACGTGTCATTTGGGATACGCTTGCGTACTACGGCGCTCTATCTCCTACTCTCAGTCGCTCGCTGTCCCTCCCTCTCTTTCTCTTTCTGTCGCTCCCTCTCTCTCTCTCTCTCTCTCTCTCTCTCTTTCTCTTCACTCTTTCTATCTAACGTCTTCTTTGTTCATCTGACTTGGTCTCACTCGCGCTCTCTCAGTATATTTCTCTATTTCTCTATTTTTTGTTATTTCACTCTCGCCCCCTCTCTCTCTAGCTCTCTTTCTCCCTCTCGCTTGCTCTTATCCTATCGTACACGCTATTCGATTCTGCACCTAACGATTCCTGCAAGGTTTTGCTCCTTTGTGACGTAATGTGTAAACCTTTGGGTTTTTTGGCCCATTTAAAAAGCTGGCCCTTGGAAATTGGCTGACCATCGATGCCCACAATTAGGCCATCGATCACTTCCCCCTTTCTATAGGCCAGTCTCTAATCCCTTTTCCTGATAGAATAGGCATCGCTTGAAGCTATAGAGAGAGCGAGAGAGAGAGAGAGAGCTTGAAAAAGAGTTGTCGTCAAAGAAATTCACGCTTATCCCTCCCGGGGCCAGTCATCTGCAGTTGTCGCCGGCGCGTCTGTCCCCCCTCTCTACCAACCCAAAACGCATAATGAGTAGTCTCGACTCATTTCGTAGGCAAATCCGAGACGCGATGACGGCTGCGTGCACTTAGCTGGAATTGCTTTTCTCCCCTCACACCTTTGCTGCCGTTGGTCTGGCAGAATGACAACAAACTCCTTGTTTTGGTTCCTGTTTCTCAGTGTTTTATGGGTTACCAAGGTCTACGCAAAATAGGACATGAAGCTAAGCTATGTCTAAGCCTAAGCCTAAGTCTAAGTCTAACTCTAAGCCGAAGCCCAGGCCATTCCTCGTGTGTCTTGCTCATCCTCACCCTAAAACATTTCGCCGCATCTCACAGCTCCCCAAAAGCCGTTCCCAACCCCTAAAAATAGCACTTCGAAATCCGTGTCACAGGGCCATTAATGGCGAAAAAGTGGCCAATGCCCCCACAACCCGCAAAGCCAGAAAGGGGGGTGAAGCCGAGGGTTCGGACACATCCAGCCGGGGAGGAAGAACGCTTTGTAATGCATAGGGCCCTAGGGCCACACAGAGACAACGGTCGGAAGGGCAAGAAAACGGAACCAAATGGCCAAATTGTCTGCGGTTGGGTTTGGCCCATCGCCCCATCGGGGTCATTTCTCATTCCGTCCAGCTGATCCAAAAAATGGCAAATTCCGGGTTGGGTTTCTAAGGATTTTTAAAGCAATTTTTCGCAATTTTTTCGGTGACCGTTTTTCATGTAGCATCTTGTTTGTTTTGCCTTTGAAAATGAATGTTTTGTTTACCTACCTAGTATTTCTTACCGCTCGCTCACTCTCCCTCTCCCTCCCCCTCTCGCTCTATCACGCTCTCTTTTTTCCTCTCGCTTTTCCCTCTCTTTTCCTTACTCTCATACTCTCTCCCCCTCACTCGCTACCACTCTTTCTCAGTCTCTCGCGTTCTCCTGGTCTCGAAGCCTCTCTCCCTCTCTCCCTCTCTCGCTCACGTGCTCAGTCTCTCGCATGCTCTCTCTCGCTGTCTCTCTATCTCTCTCCCTCTCTCTCTTCCGTCTCTCTCCCTCGGTCTCTCGCTCCCCCGCTTTCTCACCGTCTCTCACGTGCGCTATGTCTTTCTCCCTCTCTACTGCTCTCGATCCCTCCCTTTCCCAACTCATGGACAACCAACCACTTCCCGGCCGCTTTAATACGAATTATTACTGATGACACTAATCCACTTATTGTCGCCACCCTCTTCTAGCAATGATGTGTTCATGGGTGGGTGGAGGCAAAACAAAAGATTTGTGTCCGACTTGCGCGGAAGCCCCCTAAAAACTCACAAACATATTCGAGGGCTTCTTTTGGGAATTTTTGGGCTTCTCACCTTTCGGACTGGGCTCCAAAATCATGGGTTGTCTACTAGGAATTGGAATTTAAAGTAAGATTTCGTCTGATGGAGTTAAGCTCAGGCTTAGGCATAGGCTTCGGCTTAGGATTCAAATATTTCTCCACCATACACCTAATTCCGGCATCGTTTTCGGGATCTAGGGTCGAAAGATGGGCGCTCGAGCCGTATCTGAACCTTTTTTAGTTTTTCTCCCTTGCCTGAACGCCACTTTGCGGTGTTTTTTGAAGCTCGTTAGGGGCCAAGTCGTGTCCAAATTTAGGTCCTGGCCGGAGTTTGAGATGTCCCCTCCCCAATTAAAATACCCACCCCGGTCTCACCCTTATAAAACGGGTAGGAAAATTATTTTGTTGTTTTCGTCATGTCCTTGTTTAGATTTGGCCAATTTTCCGGCTTAGTCTAGCTTTATGTTTTCCATTTTTGCTTCCTTAAATGTATCGAAAGCTATGTTTAATGGAATTCCTTTCAGATTTTCGCCCGATGCACCCATCATGGGTGCTGCTGATACTATTCTGTTTTCTGATAGTGGTGGCGTTGTTCGGGAATCTGCTGGTATGCGTCGCCATTTTTTTGGGATCGACATCTGAGGTGAGCAACGTTGTTCAAGATCACAGTATTTTTTAACATTAATTTATTAACGGCCCTCACTTTGAATCGTTCCGTAATACACCAAATTTCAGACGACAACCAGAAAATCTCTTCCTGGTCTCGCTGGCCGTCTCCGACCTGTTAGTATCGTTTCTGGTAAGTCAGAAAAACGTTTCTCTCTCCGTCCCTCTCTCACTCGCGCTCTCTCCCCTCTCTCATGCGCGCGCGCTCTCTCTCTCTCGCTCTCACTCTTTTTCTCTCTCTTTTTGCTCTGTCTTTCTCTGTCACCTTCTCGCTCTCTTCGGCGTTTCAACCACTATAAACTTTATTTAAAAGCCTTTTCCAGGTGATGGTCTTCGCAGCAGCATCAGACCTGCTCGGCTATTGGCCATTCGGGAACGCGTACTGCCAATTCTGGGTGGCATTCGACATCACCACCTGCACAGCGTCAATTCTAAATTTGGCGGCGATTTCGCTCGATCGATACTGCCATATCAGTCGACCGATGGTTTATGTCAGGTTCGTATTAAAGTATTTGTGGTCTGAGCCAATTCTAAGCTTAAGGCTAAGCCTAAGCCGAAGCCTAATCGTAAGCCCGAGTCTAAGCCTAAGCATAAGTCTAAGCCTAAGCTTAATCCTAAATACATATCTACGTGAACATAGCTTCCAATTTCCTTCTAAACCTCCAACTTCCAAAAATAGCCCAAAAAATCCTCCACAACCGCGTCTAATCTCCCGAACCAATCTAACCGCCTTCCCCCTTAGAATTTATGTATATTTACCCGGGCTCCAACCCCCCCCACCCCAACTGTGCCACAACTAAAAACAAAGCCCGGTGTCACGTCCCCGTGACGACCACGGTTACCTAACCTAATAAATTCCCCAAATAACTATAACTCAATACAATCCGCTGCTACGAGCAGCCTTCTCCTTCTTTCCGGCCATCCTCAGAAGCCCGCAGTGCCGTGCTGATGGACCGTGCTCCCCTTCTCCTTCTCTATGGGCGCCTCCGTGATCCAGGGCCACATCATCGTGTTCAAGTACAAGCCCTCGTCCACCGACGTTCGCATGTCCACTTTGCATGCGGTTCCGCGGCATCCGGAAGGCGACCCTGTATTCCCTGCGTTCCCGACTATATAAACGCCCGCCTTCTTCCTCTCACCAAGTCGACTTCTCCATCGCCGTCTTCCCGGGCTCCAGCTAGCTGTTCGCCACCGCGAAGCTACGTCTGATTCCCGGCCTTCTTCTACGCCTTCTTCGTGCCCGCCTTCTTCGCCATCGCCTTCGTCGCCTTTGCCCCAATCCCCGTTTCCCCGTTTTTTGCCGTGTATTCATAAAAGGGTACCCCACCGGGACCCTTGAATAAATCGTGCCCAAAGTTCCCCGTTGTCGCGATCCCGCGACTGCATGCGCATGCTGAATGACCGGAAGACCAAGCCAATAACCATCCCTTCCCCTCATTTACATGCTGATTTCCCTGTGTTCCCTGGTATATAAAGCCCCCAATTCTCGTTGTGATTGCTTCAGTCATCCGCTCCGACCCCGGCTTCTCCAGTCCTCATTTACTTCAACGAGGTGTCACCCCACCGGGGACATCCTCCGAATAAATGTTGTGACCCTTCATGTCTGCTCTCCCACGCTATCGAGACATGTGGTGCCCCGTGGGATCCCGGTCGACATCTACTCGGACGTGATGCTGAACGCCGCCCCCGGGAGGGCCACGTACCCGTGTCCATCTGATGTATTCCGTGCCCGTCATCCGTTCGCCACCGCGAGGATCAAGGCGGCCGGCGTCTTCTCGTGTTCAAGGGCAACATCACGTGTGCCAGGGCGTCTACTCGTGACCCAGGGCGTCTTCATCGTGTTCAAGGGCAACGTCATCGTGTACCAGGGCAACTTCGCGTGATCAAGGACAACTCCATCGTGTTCAAGGCTGACGACGTGCGTGACGACGAGTCAAGAAGCAGCGATGTCTGCCACCGCGGGTCGTCTGCAGGCCGTTCGACTACTGCCGTTGAAGCCTCGTCCCCCGGGAGTGTCGCGATCCCGCGACTGCATGCGCATGCTGAATGACCGGAAGACCAAGCCAATAACCATCCCTTCCCCTCATTTACATGCTGATTTCCCTGTGTTCCCTGGTATATAAAGCCCCCAATTCTCGTTGTGATTGCTTCAGTCATCCGCTCCGACCCCGGCTTCTCCAGTCCTCATTTACTTCAACGAGGTGTCACCCCACCGGGGACATCCTCCGAATAAATTTTGTGACCCTTCATGTCTGCTCTCCCACGCTATCGAGACACCCGGGCCTTGGGAAAGTACGCCGAGAATAGCCTCGCTGCGAACTGGGAAAAGCCAGGTCGTTTGTCTGGTTGAGCTTTAGAGGAGGGTGAGAGTGATGTTGCGGCGGCCAGGAAACAAGCCCCGACCGGGGGTGGCCCGAATTCTATGATTTCTTATTTATGGCCCGGTTCTTACCGGGGTTTGAGATATGAACGCTGGGCGGAGGCGAGAAAGATGGATTTGTGATCATTTGTTGGTGCGTCTGGACGCGCGGGTTCGGGAATACGTGCCACCTTGGGATTTTGGAAATATGCGGAGAAAGTGGCTCGGCTGAAGGTCAGAGAACGGCTATTTTATAGTTTTGGAGCTCTAGACTACGGGAGACTACCTAAACATGTACAAATTCGGTTTGTCAATCCAATTGGCCAAGCCGTTGGCTAAGCCCCACTTAAACCTTGTCAGCACATGCCTAAGCCTAAACGTTGCACCTAAGCCTAAGCCAGAGCCTAAACTCAAGCCTAAGCTTCAGCCTAAGCTTGAGCCTGAGCTTTAGCTTCAGCTTGGCCTATACCTAAGCCTAAACTTAAGCTTCAGCCTAGCCCTAGCCTATACCTATGCCGATACCTAAGCCCAAGCCTAAGCTTAAGCCTAATCCTTAAACTTAAATGAACCTTCGTCATAAGCCTAAGTCATGCTGCAGCTTAAGTCTAATGCGTGGCATAAGCCTAGGAAGAGCCTAGTCATCATTTTAAAAGCATAATTTCTGACCTCGAGATCCAAATTTAGCCTTACCCCTCCCTTTAACAAATTCAAACACTCTCCGAGAGCGCAGAGGTCAGCCTCCCCGCAAAACCCGATTGTATCTCCTTGATTTTTGCCGATTTCTGGCCACGGGGGAACGTTTCGGAATTTGGAGAAGCCTGTTTGCGGATTCAAGTGCTTTTGGCCTGCCTTTTTCGGGGCCAATTCTCGAATGGACAAGGAAGGAGCAGAAGGGGGGGGGGGAGAGGGGCTCCTCTGGTCGATTGGGGGAATCTCATCAGAATGCACAACGGATTTCCGTCGGAATGGATGGGGGAGCTTGTCGGAATGGCCGGAGGGCAAATTCATTGGTCGAGGGATCAAAAAGATGCCGGAAATGCAAAAAAATTGAATAGGGATATAGGTAAATGGGATAGAGGCTGCAGAAAAGGAAAAATTTTGCATTGAGAGAAAGAAAATGGCTACAAAGAAAAACTCGAAGATATTTCGAGCAACACTGCGGCTTCTCTGTGGCTTTCAAATTTAAAAATTGAGTGAAAATACACACGAAATAGCGTATTTTTCCAGATACTGCAATCGACGTCGAATATCGTACGGGATCATCATCGTCTGGCTCCTCTCCGCATTAATAGGAGCAGCGCCGCTAGGCTTCGGATTCGACAAGCAGTTCTCGCATAACAAGTATGCCAAAAATCTTAAATTATCTCTTTTTCTCTCTCTCTCACTCTCTCTTTCTTTCTCTCTCTATCTCTCTCTCTCTCTTTCCTGCTCTTATCGCGAACTACATTCTCAAATTTAAGCGAGACGAGTCAGCCGACGTGCGAGATGAACTTACCACTGGCATACGCTGTCGCCAGTTCATTACTGTCGTTTTTTCCTGCCGGCGGCGATTATGGTAATTTTTGGCTTGTTTAACTGCCTTGCCAGCCCCGTTAAATTACAAAAACCGATTAGTGCATCATTCAGGTTTTCCTGTATACAAAACTCTACCTCTACGCCCAACGTCACGTCCGGAGCATACAGACGCAGTTGAAGCAAGCGACGTCTTTCCTTATAATGCAGCTGGCCTCGGAGAAGATTCGAGAGGTAGCACTTAAAGATTAACTCACTTCTTATAATCCTTCTAACCACCCTCATCCTGCATCCGAACCTTCTGGGAGTAAGCCATTACCGCTTGTCGATTTTTGGTATTTGAGGATAGTAAAAAAAAAGAAGTTTAAGCGGGCCGGCAAGTCAGGCATAGACAAAAGTTAAGGCACCTGCGTGACAAGCCGATAAGCAATTAGTCAAAAAAATCTATACTCATGACTTGCGCACGACGCATTAATGGCTTACTCTTCTGAAGTCATTTTCAAGACATGAAAGCACTCCCACTTTTGGAACCCATTCTCTCTCCTTCTCTCCTTCTCCCTCTTCTCTTCCCTCGCCCTCTATGACCATCTATTCTTCCCCGATTTCAGGATGAGGATGAAGCGGATAGTTACGACGAGGTAGCAAACATTAGAGATTCCCGTAGTAGAAGGATACCATTATTTTTATTTTTGCTCAATTCCCCTTACTTGCCAAGCTGAACATTCATCTGTCGGTGTGGGGTCGGGTTTGAATGAATTTTGAATTCGAAGCTACAAACTACAAAAACCAACCCGACCCTCCCCAAATTTCCTTACCTCCGCTGCCCCTCCGGACTTTCGGCCCCAACCCGACTTCTTCATTTCCACTGAACTGCTCGGCGTTGTGCATGCGTTTCCCCTACTTCTACTACTGAAGATTGTGGTAGCTGGCCGGGGGCCTGTTTGCCCTGGTTTTCCGCGATTTTTCCCATTAGCTCTTGGAATGGCGTAACACAAAGAGCTGCGAATTCTTTGCTGCTTGCAAGAATTTTGGTTTCATGCGGGCAAATATCAGAGAGAGAGTGAAGGAGAGAGAGAGACAGAGAGAGATAGCGAGTGAATGAGAGAAAGATAGCTACAGTCATTTCAACGCATAATATACGCATACGACGAAGGAAAGAAAAGCTTGCAGTAACCTGAGAATATGACAAAAATTTAAAGTATTAAAAACAACACATCATCTTTTCCACCTGTTCCAATAAATAACCCCCTCTCCCCCCCTCCCCTTAGCCAACCACTTAGGGGCTTTTGAGGTGGTGGTGCGTGTGGTGGTGGATGGGGCTCGGCTTCTGAATATAGTACCTGAACTCGCCCCCCACCAAAAATGATCGCCTGGGGGGCCAGAGCTTTGACTTTGATTTTTGGGGCCGAGTGCTGCTCACCCTGTCGCTCACGAACTGTGTGTTAACTCGTCCCGCTTGCGCTTTATCGATGTCGGTGCTTCAGGCGACGGCGGCCACGCTACGCAACGGCTCGACGACGGCACCAACACCCGCTTCGCCGCGGCTCGATAAGGAGCTGATTGATGACGCGGTGAGTTTTCAGGAGTTTTGGCATTACTACAGACTATTCAAATTACGTTAAAGGAATGATAACCTCTAGCTGGTATCCCCAGACAGCATGAGAGCTTCCATTAATGCGTCAATTGTCCTCTATAAAAGATTCCCTTTCAGCAGCGCGGCACCTCGATGTGGTCAAAGTTCTCCCGCGTACTCCACGTCCGCCGGAAAGGCAGCTCCGAGGAGCAGCAGCAGCAGCGGAACACCATCAGCGACCAGAAAGCCAGGTATGCTTAGTTGGGCTTAGTTGGCTTTAGGGCTTGGACCAGGTTTTGGCTTAGGCTTTGCTTGGGCCGATCATTTAACGTCTGCAGGCTACATCTAGACAAGAGATAAATCATGGTCCTGGGAATGAGGTTCGAGCTGTCAATGTTATTTTCTTTTCGCTTGTCAGGGTCTGTCAGCTGCCCTAGGAGGGCGTTAGGTTCATTCGAGCAAAAAACAGACACTTTTTGGGCGGCACGTTCCAGGGGTTCGTTTTTAAATCCGGTTCCGGATCGGGTTACAAAGAAAAAATGCAGGACGAGAGTCTGGTTAGATACTGGGAACCTTTGGAAAGTCACGACGATGACCGAAAGCAGGATGCGAAGCTTTATCGAAGCTAAATATTTCCAGAATTACCCTCGGCGTTATCATGGGTACGTTCTTGGTGTGTTGGACTCCGTTTTTCCTGGTCAACATCTGGAGGTCGTGGGACCACGTGAACAAGGAGTTATCGCAGGTTCGTATGATTTTTTGGCCTGATCCCAAGCTAGCAGAGACGTTTGAGGGATTTTCCGTGGCATTAAATTAGACTAAAGAAGTTGAGGAGCTTTAAAAACCCTGAAGCTCGGCATCAATTTCTAATTCAGGCCGTCACCTGGCTGGGCTACGCAAACTCCGCCCTGAACCCGGTCATCTACAGTATCTTCAACCGCGACTTCCGAAGAGCTTTCAAGAAGATCATCGTCAAGCTGTTCAGCTGCTTCGATACCGGGAAGAAGAACTATGGGTAAGCCGTGCCCAAAAAATTAATCCAATATTTTGTCTAGCAGAACTTACGGGAATTCAGGTAATTAGCATAGCTGGGCAGTAAAATTATCTTCGTAAGATGGCGTCACAATTTTTGTAGTCTGGAGGGCTGTATGACAAGAAAATTTTCGCACCTAATCGATTACGTTGTAGAAACCAGGCCGTCACAATCCCTTGAAAACGCTAAAAGCATCCAAACCAATTTTTGTGATTTGAAAGTTACGGTATCGTAGCCAATTGACGTACAGTACTTCATGTCATTTTATATTTTTTCAGCTGCGTACGGAACGGCGTGACGGACGGCATGGTCGACCGGAAACGCTCTTACACCCGCTCATCCGATACCCCAGAAAATAATAATTTGAATCGTGGCGAGCCGGTTGCTACTCGGCTTGTCCTGTTGAACAATAATGAATCATCTGTGATTGTAGAGGAATAGTTTTTCTTTTCGTTAAGCTTGTAACTCATAAGGGGTCCGGAAAGCCGAAGCCTAAGTCCTAGCCGAAGCCTAAACCGAAGCCTATTTTTTTCGACCCATGAGCCTCACCCCTCAAATCTTGACCAAAATTCCCTACGGGTCTGCTACTCTGATGCCACAGCATAATCCTCTGCTTCCTCCCCCAATGACCTGCTCTGCTTTAACTGTACTGCTTTGCGGGTTCCCGTGATTGTGAACAGGATCTCGTCCCTCGAGTTGGCAGCTTGCCAAATTCGTCACAGGAGAACTATGTATGCCAGATTCTGTACCCTCTCGACTTCCCTGTGCCCTCAACGTGCTTCGTGTGATTCGTGTGCTTTGATGAAGACGGGTGTTTTGCCTTTGGATAAAGGATTTTACGTAAGCTGAAAGGAGAAAACAACATAAAATGAGAAAGTGAGAACGAGAGAGAGACAGATAGGGAGAGAGAAAGAGATAAAAAGAGATAGAGAGAGCGCGAGAGAGAGAAAAGAGAGCAAGAGAGAGAGAGAGAGAGAGAGAGAGAGAGAGAGAGAGAGAGAGAGAGAGTCTAGGAGACCAAATCAGATACACAAAAAGTTATTGAGATTTATCAGGCAAGCACTGATCGGAGATTCTGAAGTTTCCCAATCCCAAACGCCATTTCAAAAACTAGTGCAATTCAAAATAATAAACTCCAAAAAATGAATTATTCTCCGAGTTTTCCCCGCTTTCACATCCCGGTCGAACAATTGGAAAGAAAGGAGGCGGAGATGGCCCCGCTAATCCATGCACCCTCCGTCCCTCTTTCGTCCCAACGACCCCCCGGGAATAAACGCATTTGGCCGGAAGACGACAATCAACGGCTCCAGAAACAGCGACAGCAATCCGCAGTAGCAGTTGCACTCCAGGGTTCGTGCCATCGATGCGGTAATTCAGATCTAGCAGCCATTGTGTTACGATTAAGCATATCCAAAACCTCCAAAACGTCAAAGATCTTCAAAAACAGACTCTAACGTACTCTAAACGTGGTGTTTTTTCACACCTTGAAACGTGTCTTTCCGTGGTAGCTAAACAGCCTTTTTCGTTTTCGCTTGTTTCGGACGTTGCATGCCATTTCGACACACGACCTTCTGGCATTTGGCCTTAGAGGCAAGATCGTGGAAGGCCAAGAGTCGCGTGGGAGAGGTCCCCGGGGACACTGCTAGGTCCATGGGGCCCAAATGACACAGATTTGGGCCCGAACTTGATACCCCGGGTCCGAGGCTAGCATCCGGAATGGAGGGTTTATAACTTGGTTAATGGAAGCGTTTGCTTTCTTGATTCGGCGTATGTTACGTTTTATCCCCTCTTTACAGGCTAGAACTCTTTGCTCCCAGGCGTAATGCGGGAATATCCCTCTCTCTTTTTCGCTCTCTCCCATTTTCTCGCTCATTGATAGAGCCTAGCCTAATCCCGCTATTGTATTGTTTTACTTACCATGGCAACCAAAAGAACCTATACTTCCTCTATTTTTACTTCAAAACTACAATGGTTGTGTGAATATTCCCATCGCAACCCGAAGAGGGAAAAGCCGAGGCATTGAGGCGTGCCCCTATTCGGGTACACTTCCAAAGATTACCCTCCCCACCCCTCCAATTCTCAGATCCTATCTTCAGGTATGGCACATTGCTGCGAAGAGGGCAAAACTTCTCTCTGGTAATGGGTGACTCGCTTTGGAGTTTTATAAAAAGTAAAGGTCCTTTTTTAGAGGCCAGGCCACTTTTTGATAAACTTCCATAGCTTTCCCATCGTGTCTTTATCTTTCCCACCATATGCAAATTCATCGACTGGCGGGGGGGTGTGGATCGCCTGGACAAGCGCGTTAATTAGGCGAGGAGGGGCGCCCGAGGGGCTTTTGAAATGTCATTGGCTTCTCGTTGGGCTGCATGTGAAACAGCTATTATGAGCTTTTTTGGCAAGCTAAGCATACGCCTAAGTCTAAGCCTAGGCCTAAGCCTGCATCTGAACCTAAGCTTGAAGCCTAACCCTAAGCCTAAGCATAACGGTAGGATTTAGCGTAATCCTATGCCTAAGCTTAAGCCAACCCTAACTAAAGCATGATACTTGTTGGTTGCATGTTTTATTCGGCTTCTCTCAGTACCAGTGTTCGCCCAGCTCAAAAGAAACATTTTGGAAGCACCAAGTGTTCCCCTTCCCGAGCCCAACAATGACCCATTTGGCAGTGCGGGACTAGGAGAGGAGAAGGGTGTCCAGAAGAAGAATCAGCAATTACCCTCCTCCTCCCCTCCCCCCATTTCTCGGTTCTCCCCCTATTTTCCATGCCGAGACAGCTCTGCCTCCCCCTTGACACCCGACCATTGGCAATTCATGGTTTTCTCTCGCCTCTTTGACCCTGCGGGTGTGCATTCGGGGGCCCATGCCCTCCAGCTACTACCATTTGGGACACCACTCGCCGGGGGATTTGGCTTGCCACAAAAAACCGAGTCTAGCCTTTGTTGACATTGGGGTTGGTTGCGAGGTTTATAGCCTTGAAGCACGCCCTTTTCTCGGCGCTCTCAATATAAGGCAGAAATTCGGAGGGGCACGAAATTTGGCTCAAAGAGGATCTTGGCTTGCTTGTCTACAAACTTCGTTATTAAACAGTTAATAAGGCTCCATTAGGTACATATTTTGAGGTGCCTTCTTACTACTAAAACCGGCTTGCGTGAAGTGATTGCTGTAAAGCGACGTCCGTCCACTTTTTTTAGCTGTTTCTAGCTCTCTTTCCTGGCCCAATCCCTCGGCGTTTTCTCTCTCTCTCTCCCTCTCTCTCTCTCCATCTCTCCCGCCCTCTAACACCTTGTATCTCTCTTGCTCTCGCGCACACTCTCTCACGCTCGCACTGTCTCTCAGTTTGTATATCTCTGTCGCTCTCTCTCTCTCTTTCTCTCTATCGCGTTTCTCTCGCTTTGTGTTCCTCTAATACGGTATCAAGGTTATTTTTATCTAGATTTTTCTAAAGTCTTTCTAACAACAAATCACGAGGACCTTTTTTCTCGCGAATCAGTGCAAAAAAACCCTATTTTCTTAGAATCAAGGCATTCAGACAAATCCGATCCAGATCCTAAAAAAATCGCAACAATGGTGCCAATCCGCAAGATTAGGCAGGCCAGGAATAAATCCCCAGGAGAGATTCAGGCATGTTTCTATGGCGACGCGTTTCGCACGGAGGGCAGGGCCCTTCACTGGGTATGAGTGAGGCCAGGGCCAAAAATTCCGCTAGAAGCCTCTAGCCGCCCTGGGGTCCGCCGACTCACTATAATTAGGTGCCGCCGCCATAACCTGGGCGTAAGAATAAGAATAGTATCGCTGACTCAATGGGTCGGTTATTATTAGCTTTGTTGATAATCATTGAACACAGGAGTTTTTACATAGTTTTCACTGGTTTTCCCCAACATTAATATAGATTCTGGACTATAAAAATGACAATTTTTGTATTTTCTGTAATTATACTTCTTACCACAATTTTCAGTATACGTTCACGACGGCCAAGTTCTGAGACGCATATTCCAAATCGTTGAGTTGGGCCGCTTGAGAAAACTTCGACTATCCCTCTTCTATCTCAAGTTTTTTGAAATTTTGTAATTTAAATTTAAGAATTAGGGAAAAGGAACCTTAACAAATTTAGAATTTTTTATATAAAACCCTAAAGTGCTCTCTTTAAGTTTCTTTTACAGGAATATGCGTGTTTTTAACGACAAAAATTGCTAGCTTGCGTAACCTTCTCAATGCAAATTAGGATACCTTTAACGCTATTTCTTGGCCAAATTTCCTTCTTTTCCAACGCTCTGAGCCCTGAACTGCATCAGAGTTGTCCTCGAAACTTCAAATCGGCAATAAACTACGCAACGGTGCTCCAAAAGCATAATTCGGCCGGGGTGTGAACGGCTTATCGCAAACCGGACTTTTTCGCGACAACGGCCGGGGCCGAATTCCAAATTATTGGTAAACAGAACGCGACAATACATTCCTAACTGGGAATCCCCGCACCTTGGCAAATATTTGTATTTTGGGCCGCACTTTCCGCGTATAGACCAGAGCGAACGTTGGCCCCACTCCAACAGGGCCATTATTACCCGGGTGGCACCCGTTTTGGGGCCCACCTACCTCACCCCCGCAGGCAATGGGCAGCTTTTGGATGGGCGCGGAAATGAGGCATGAGTCGAGTCAATACGCGAGACGAGCCGCTGCCGCATAGCCCGCGTCTCCACCCGCCTGCCACAAACCTCATTACCGCTGCTCCTCAAAAAGAGGGGAGGAGAAGTCAGTGGCGTTTTCCTGGCCTGTTTTTGATACTAAATTTACCTTACGACTTTTCTTGGGTCAATTCTTTGTATTTTCCTTTAATTTATGCTTTTTGTTATATTAATTAAGCTATTTCAAAGCTAAAGCGTTATTTAAGATTCAAATATATAACTTTCCTTTCGTGATTCCTTTATTAACTCGCGATTTCTTCAAAGTAAAGGTCGATGAGAAGCGTAAATTTAAGAATTATGCCTATGATTTGCGCGATTTTTATAAACATACTTTTTTCTCTTTTTTTCTTTTAGTTATAACCATTTTTTGCTATTGTACCGTAATTCTGCGGGCAATTTCAGGCATAGAAGCTAAATTTTGAGGTTCCTCGGAAATGCGTTTCCTCCCTCCTTTACGAATACCGCTAGATTACCCAAGATTTTCCTCGCAAATCCGGACCAATTGAGGCTTATTGTGCAAGGGCACCCCCTCCCCAAGGTAATTTGCAAAGCTTTAGATTTGGATTTCAGTTCCAAATCCAGTCGGTCAGCCCCTTTCCTCTCGGACACTCGACAAATCGCTATGCCTCACGTCGAGCAGTGGCCGTGTTTCAGAACTTTTTACGATTTATTTAAACGGTCAGCCGTTCCGGCTCGGAGTCTCGGAAAGAAAGCCAGCTATTGGGTCCCATTAACTATCCGGGGCTAATTGATTCGTTGGCAGACACGTTAAAACGATTGGTGGATTTATTGGGAGCTCGACGGTAGAGTTAAGCTTAAGCCTAAGCCAAAGTCTATCATATGCCTGAACCTAGCCTAAGCCTAAGCCTACCTATAAACCTAACCTAAGCATAAGCTGGTACCTAGCCTGAGCCTAAGCCTAAGCCTAAACCAAAGTTTTGCTTGATAAGCTTGCCCACTCTCGCTACCAGTTTGCCAACACAAACCTCTATGTCGGAAACATGCGCCGCCACACCCGGCTGTTTCTATTTGTTTTTGCCTGCCCTCCGCCAGGGCTCTACCCTCCGCGGCAACCAAAAAAAAGTCTAAATTATTCGCCCAGCTGCCATAGTTTTTGCCACTTTTGGCGGGTCGCAGAGTTTCAGAACTAATGGAGTTCAAGCCCAACGTCATTAGTTCTTTTTTATTTAAATTTGTTAGGATTTTTCGAGGTGTCATTCTCTAACAGACTTCGCAATCCCTTGAAAATGGTGAAACGTCCTGATTTCTGAGCACTCAATTGGCATTGAGCCAAAAAACTCCTGCTGCGGCGGCGACCTTGAAAAAACCCGCGAAACTGAGAGGGGAACCAGGTGAATCAGTCACCTTTGTGGTTGCCAATCGTATTACCCCAATTCTTCAATTCTCTCCGGGGGTCAGGACTCGTTCTTTTCGTGTTCGTCGCCCCTGGAGAATTGATAGGTGATTCTCACGTTTTTTGCACTATTTTTCCTTTTATCAGATTTTACGAGATGATACTAAAGCGTAATTTGCAAGTATCCGTAATTGAAATAAGGCCGTTCTTTTTTATCGAGTACAAACTACGCCCTGATCTTCTCCTCAAAATCTTCCGATTTCCGTATTCTATCAAAAACAGAAAAACGGTCATGCCACAAGGCGTCTCCAAACGAGCCCACTTCCAAATTCATTCCTTTCATGCTAAAAGCCCCCCTGGCCGCCCGACCGCGAATTGCAACGCCTTTTTTTGACTTTTTGGCCCGCTCCCCTCTCATCAACATGCATGGATGTGTCTTCCCATGGAGCCGATTTTGGAATGGCCTCCTGCCCCCATCCATCCGACATTCAATGTCTCCCCACCCCCCAAGTAAGGCCATGGGGGAGTGCCGAACAAGTGCAGAAAAATAGTGGAGGGTAAACAGTCGGTAGCGTGTCGCCTGACCTCGACGAAACGTCTGTTATTCAGGTGGTGTTTCGGCTTTGAAATTGGCATTTGAGGCTAATGACTTTGTTTCATTGTGGCTGCTTTTACAAGCTTTAATTTATGACTTAAAATTCGATAAAAATTTTGCAGTTTTTCAGGTCATTAGATGGCATCAGGGGTAAGCTTTTTGGAGCTATAATTCGGCAAAATACTATTTTTTATATTAAAGTTAAAATCGATAGCTAAGATAATAGCTTATTCAACTAAAATCATTATCAAATCCCTTGAAGTCGTAGCATTTTTTAGTATTTAGAATCTTGAAAACGTCAGGAGTTAAATAACACTCGATGGAATTCTGTAAACGCTACTGTTGTTTCAGCTAAGCGTTTTTAGAATGCCAACTTGTTTCGTTACTACTCTTATAGACAGGTAATATCGGTTAGTGATGGGAATAGTGATAAATAAAGAAATCCGCCCATGATTTCAAAAATTACAGTAGCTTGCTAGCGCCTGGTGCGTACTTTTATACCCTTATTAATTGGTCAACAACGTCTCCTATTGTTCTCTGAGCATTCTCACCTCAATTTCTGTTCATTCAAGCCTACCCAGCCCCCGTCCTCTGATCCTCTTATCTCAAGAATTCGCGGCTTTCCGAACACCCGCCGTGCAAAAATATAATCGGCGCGGCTATTTGGCAACTTCGTCAGCACTCGCACTCTCACTGCGCCGTTCCGACCCTCATTTTTGCCCACTCAACTGCTGTGACCTTGGGAAGCGCAGGTTCGGTGCCGCTACAAAGAAGCGTTGTTTACCTCAAATTTTTCACGTTTCAACATCGTATTTGCGTTGGAATTTGGACTTCGACGAGCTGTTTAGGCCCATCCCTCTGTTAGGCGGTTTTACCTCGTATTTTCAGATTTCATTAATGCGCTGAAGTTCTTCTGACGTTGTCCTTTTAAAAATCGGAATGATTCAGCTTTAATTGTCATTTTTGAATTCTTCTTGTGGCTTGATGCTCTCCTTAATACTAAAATTTTGTTGGCTTTACCCCTTTAAAACAGATTTCTAGATTTTTCAATGTCCCACATCCACGGCCCGCAATGCATCTGCCAGATTTGCACATGCGGGTAAGTTTTTTTGTATCAAAAAAAATCATAGAGTCAAATCACAATAATAATTTTTATGGTTTCTTTGCAGCCGCCACCGTTGCCCGCACGATCGAAACGCCAGTAACCTCAACTTTGGCGACGACTCCAGCGGCTTCCAGCGAAAGGTAATCGCGTTCTGCGCTTCGGTCTTTTTTTCTGCCCCAGTACCTCCTCAGCTAAACAAATATCCAATTCAGGAGTATGCAGTGGCGGCTGGGGGCGAGCGCAGCCCCGCCAGAAAGCCACGAGGCGAAATTTCACCCCAAAATCTTGGAGCGACGACGGACGCGACCTTGGTTGGTGTTTTTTTTTGGCTGTATGAAACAGATTTTTCACGGATTTTGTAACTTACCGGAGCCTAACCTTATGTCTAGTCTATCGTCGTCGTCTAATAACTTTTTCTAAAGCCTAAACCTAAGCCTAAGCCTAAGCCTGAGCATAAGCCCAAGCAAACCTAAGCGTTAGCCTAAGCCTAATATTTAACCGTTTTTTATTTATTTGAATCACACGTTTCAGATGAGCAGAAGCGAAACTCACGAAGCCTACCAAGCCGCTGATGGCGACGCCAAAAACCGCTTCGTCACCTCGGCCGCTTTCAAGAAACGAAACCAACAATCCCAGGTTCGAATTTTTATGGGCATCTTCTTGACAACAGAAAAGATTTTATACAGCGACAGGAAATGTTAAATTAGTTCAGCTCGTCGGCCTCTTCTAGGTACTCGGGGTTAAACATTAGAGGGTCGCTGCGTTTCCCGAATCTAAAAATAATTGAATTAAAAAATTTATTTGGTTGACTGCATTTTGAAAACAGGACTCAATGGATCTTGATGATGAGGTAAGAGCAAGCTTTGATTATGTTGCTCCGGATGATAAGAATTTGAAGTAAAAATGGAAACTAACCTAACCAATGCGCTCCTGTGTGGTGCTGCTCTTCCGAAACGGACGAGGGCTTGGCGATAGGGTCTTCGGTCGTCCCTCAAATTAGCGAAATTAGCGATAGATAGGCTTTGAAGAGAGAGAGAGAGAGAGTGAGAGAGAGCGCGAGCGATTCAGAAAGATGAGAACTTCCGGCTTTACATCGCGCTTTGCTGGCACTCCCCCTTTAAAAGATACCTCTAGAGACTGGAGGTCGTTTCTAAGCGACCATATCACTTTAACTTACATGAACGGACTTGCCGACACCGAAAACACGGCCAACAAGGCGATCAGCACGAAATGTAGAAAGCGCATTGTGCACAGCGTTACCTGAAAATTCTGAGAATTTGATCATAGAACGCTTTCAGTAGAAAAGGAAAATGAAAACCAGGAAATGACATCCGGCGACCCGGCGGGAACATCCGAGGGGCACCAAAAACTATGGCGAATGCGCTCATAAAGTTGCCGGAAGCCGTTTAATTTCGGAATTCTTTAGTAGGCGAACATGGTCACTGCAAAATTTGGGAAAAACCACTCTTGCAACGGGTTCTCGGCTAGACTGGACGTAATAAGTTCATAGGTTGGGAAGTGACGGGGTAGACGGGTGTTGGGTAGTCTTTGAATAATGCATCTTGTAAGAAGTAGACTGCTATAACGTGACTAGGGGGAACGTAGGTAGTCCATGAGGGTTTTTAGGGTAGGTTCGAGCGCAAAACAAAACAATGAGTCATTTTTGAGGGGTTAAGAAGCGAAGGTTCTCCCACCAGGCACCTAATGGGTCTAGACGACTACGTAATACATCAAGTGGAATGTCAGTTACTTTGTGACAGTCCATAGGAGGCCTGGCACGTAGTCAAATAGACCTAGTTGAAAGGTGGAGTCGAAACTTGGTCTTACAGGTCCATTCGAAGGGATGGTGACATGAGAATTTAGCGTCGAAAGCTTTTGAGTAGTCGGATTCAAGAAAGATGTTTGGAGATAGATATGTATATGAGGACCAGAATTGTCTTTTTAAAAAGCTGAAAAGCTGGGATTCATATCTTGGCTGCTTTCAGTAAGTCGATAGACTTATATAGTCAACTACAACTAAAAAAGGCCCACATTTCGAACTTCCAAATACAAAAAACATGACGTTTTCGAGCCCTAGACCACCCTAATCGTATCTGCCGTGCTGAGTACCACCCGAAAAACTAAGCGATCACCGCCCTGAAGCGAGTGGCGTGCCCAGATTTGGTTAGCTTGAGCCCCCGAAGCGGCCCAAGGGCGGAAACCGGGAAACGAGAATAGAAACTTCAACCCGCCTGGGGGGGCCTCCTCCCCGGAATACACAGGGGATTGTGGTGGTGTGTGTATGCGGGTTTCGCCTCGGAGCAATAGGCCCCTGGGCTTGAAATTCATCTTGTAAACCCCTACACATACCCCCACAAAACCCCCAGCCACCGCCCCTTATGGCCATTTCCCAGGAGGGCAAAGATGCCCCACAAAAAATTTCGGTGGTCCCTGGCCAGCCACTCGGATAAATGGGCTCAACAATGCACCAAGCAAATCTAAAATTTATGGATTTGGTCCGGGGGCCGTTCGTTGGTTTTTTTGGGGTTGAACGTCTGGAACGGGGGATTTCTGAATTGGGGACCCGGTCTTCGTTCCGCATTCTCAAGAGGGTGGCATTGGTTTTTGGGGCAAGATATAGGAGCAGAATAGCAAAGAGAAAAGAAGAAACGGTCGTAATCTTGGCGTTGGACTTTAAACTTTTTTTGGCTTTAAAGGGAATTGGCACGGACCGAGTTTTTAGCCATCAATTTTTTATGAATTTTGGCCTGAACGCGACACGCAACGCGCTCGCGGTTCTTGGGTTGAGGCCTTTCTGCAGCGGCGTCTTGCAAATTAAGTGTTACGTGCGTTACAAAATGCGGCGAGGAATAATGCCCAAAAATCCTGGGCGCGTAGCCTTAAAGGTATAGGAGAATATGTCGGCTGATTCGAATGGCAGCAAATATTTTTAAATATGAATTTTAAAAATGGTTATCAAGCACTCCTGCAACTATAATAAGTAAATATAGTACTCCAAATATAGTAGCACTTTTACGACCAAACGTCCCCTTAAATAAGCGAAGAAACCTACTTCAAAGAAATGGAAATAGCTAGCAGAACAAGCCTGACATCACCGTGAATACGTTAACACACCTATATTTGTGCTATGTGTCTTGCCGTAAGCCCACCCCAAAATACCGGTAGAATGGGCAAAACACATGGCTTTTCAAGGCATTTATATGGCCCTAAAACATGTCATGCTTACAAAATGGAAACCCCCAAATGGAATCGGGGTGGAAAACGTAATTGCTTGAGGCTCGCGCTGTGAGACATCGGATCGTTTGGGTCGCACGAGCAAAATAGAATGCATGCCATTTGGTTTCGGAGTATGGCTGGGGAAGCGTGGTTGCTGTTTTAAGTAATCAAAGAATGTGAGTAGAAGCCGGAAACCAGACCTTAAAGCTTCCTGCGAAAAAGTTTATATAGTGGTGCCCGGACCGTTCGTGGAAGCCATTAAAAACGCAATAACCATTATTTGGCGCTTACCTACACGCGATCTTTGGCCCCACAACAGATACTTTCCAAAACCTCAAGAACCGGAAGCTTAAAAGCATCTTGCAGCGCATAAATCAGTGCCAAAAAGAAATGCGGGCGATTTCCGAACCCTCCGGGGAGCAACTTATCATTGCCCCCGCATATGACGTGCCTAAAACAGCATGTTTTGGGTATCTAAAAGAGGGAAATACTAAAGGCGCACCTAAAAAAATCTAAAAATACTTTCGTACCCCCGTATTTCAGATCTTTGACTCGAATGGCAACGACTCGAACAGCCGGATCTTGGGACGACGTGAACAAGGTTCGCGTTTGGTCTATTGAATCTGGGTGCTGGCCAAGGCGCGCGTTCCGTATCCAGATGCTAATCAGATTTTGGAAGAACCACTATTTTCAGGACCGGGCTTTTTTAGGCAAGCCGTTGTTTTGAAATCAAAGGACGTCTAGCCATTTCCAAACCTATCTGGTTTGAAATGTTTTGTATCACAAAGATATAAAGGTAAAAAGCAGTTGTAAAGTTGTAAAGTTACGGAAACTCGTTGTCACTAAAAAAAGTCCCCTCGTTAAACTAAGAACAGCTCTAGGAAATTTAACGAAATTGCAATAACCTAGCAACTAATCGGAAAACATGCGCCCAATTCGTGCGTGTCTTTAGACACAACTTCGAAAAAAACCGAAAACCAATTCCAGTGTCCCGCGACGAAATGGTCGACAAGGAAAAAGCGACGAACAGCAGGGTAAGCGCAGCCTCTTTTTTCGTTCGGCTTCTCGTGGTTGTGCGCCATTGCATGCGTTCAGGAGGCCACCCCTCAAATCAGCCCCAACTCTACTGCAGCAATCGAGAGCAAATTGACCGCCACCCCGCTTTCACGCTACAAACGACAACACTTACTGCAATCGAGCCTGACTTTCGGTGACGAGGACGCCAAACCCTCTCCCACAATGGTCGTCAAGCAAATTGAAGTCAAGGAGGAGACCGTTCCTTCTTATGCACGCTCAACCGAAGCGGCACGCAAGAAAGTGGCTGTGGTTTCTGGTGTGGTGGTCGAGAACAATCATGATAAGGTATTTTCGCATGCTATGTGGGCTTTACTCGGCGCTGGACCAGTACTTGCAACGCATAATCGATCTTTAGAGCCAATCCGTGTCGCGAAGTGACTTTGCCGGGGTGCAAGGGGATCGCGTGGAAGTTCGACGACCGAAAGAAAACCAGATATTTGAGGTACCAATTTTTTGACATCAAGAATGTAAAATTCCTTTAGCGACACGCAAATGGCGTAATGGGTACCTCCATGACAAGGAGTGACTACTCCCCGAAGAAAGGCGATCGCTATGAAATCAGGAAGCCCGTCGACAGTAAAATCTTCGAAGTAGTCAGACAGTTTGCCGGTATATCCCCACTTTTCCTTTAGCGCGATGGAAAAGCGGTCGGCTCGAGCGTCACGAGAAGTGAATTTGTCCAACAAAAGGGCGACCGTTATTCGACAAAAAAGCCGCAAGAGAATGAGATATTTCAGGCAAGCTTTGCATTAAAAGCTAATACATCCTTTTAGAAAGGCGGCATCGAAGGTCAAACCCAGAACCAGAGGGACTTCCAAGCAGGACGAGGCGATCGCTATGATGCTGTGAAGCCTGGAGCATCGGACATCTGGCACAAGGAAGGCGGCGTCGAGCAGATGACCGTCAACCGCAGCGAGTACAGCGCCAAGGCCGGCGAACGTACGATGTCGTCAAGCCGAAGAATCCGACCTGTTCGAGGTGATGGCCACTTCGAGGGCCAGACCCAGAATCAGAAGGACTTCCAAGCAGGACGAGGCGATCGCTATGATACAGTACGACCCGGCGCATCAGACATCTGGAACAAGGAAGGCGGCGTCGAGCAGATGACCGTCAACCGCAGCGAGTACATCGCCAAGGCTGGCGAACGCTACGCTGTCGTCAAGCCGAAAGAATCCGACCTGCTTCGAGGTGATGGTCACTTCGAGGGCCAGACCCAGAATCAGAAGGACTTCCAAGCAGGACGAGGCGATCGCTTGATACAGTAGACCCGGCGCATCAGACATCTGGAACAAGGAAGGCGGCGTCGAGCAGATGACCGTCAACCGCAGCGAGTACAGCGCCAAGGCCGGCGAACGCTACGATGTCGTCAAGCCGAAGGAGTCGGACTTGTTGAGGGGAGACGGCCACTTCGAAGGCCAGACCCAGAATCAGAAGGACTTCCAAGCAGGACGAGGCGATCGCTATGATACAGTACGACCCGGTGCATCAGACATCTGGAACAAGGAAGGCGGCGTCGAGCAGATGACCGTCAACCGCAGCGAGTACAGCGCCAAGGCCGGCGAACGCTACGATGTCGTCAAGCCGAAGGAGTCGGACTTGTTGAGGGGAGACGGCCACTTCGAAGGCCAGACCCAGAATCAGAAGGACTTCCAAGCAGGACGAGGCGATCGCTATGATGCTGTGAAGCCTGGAGCATCAGACATCTGGAACAAGGAAGGCGGCGTCGAGCAGATGACCGTCAACCGCAGCGAGTACAGCGCCAAGGCCGGCGAACGCTACGATGTCGTCAAGCCGAAGGAGTCGGGCTTGTTGAGGGGAGACGGCCACTTCGAAGGCCAGACCCAGAATCAGAAGGACTTCCAAGCAGGACGAGGCGATCGCTATGATGCTGTGAAGCCTGGAGCATCAGACATCTGGAACAAGGAAGGCGGCGTCGAGCAGATGACCGTCAACCGCAGCGAGTACAGCGCCAAGGCCGGCGAACGCTACGATGTCGTCAAGCCGAAGGAGTCGGACTTGTTGAGGGGAGACGGCCACTTCGAAGGCCAGACCCAGAATCAGAAGGACTTCCAAGCAGGACGAGGCGATCGCTATGATGCTGTGAAGCCTGGAGCATCAGACATCTGGAACAAGGAAGGTGGCGTCGAGCAGATGACCGTCAACCGCAGCGAGTACAGCGCCAAGGCCGGCGAACGCTACGATGTCGTCAAGCCGAAAGAATCCGACCTGCTTCGAGGTGATGGTCACTTCGAGGGCCAGACCCAGAATCAGAAGGACTTCCAAGCAGGACGAGGCGATCGCTATGATACAGTACGACCCGGCGCATCAGACATCTGGAACAAGGAAGGCGGCGTCGAGCAGATGACCGTCAACCGCAGCGAGTACAGCGCCAAGGCCGGCGAACGCTACGATGTCGTCAAGCCGAAGGAGTCGGACTTGTTGAGGGGAGACGGCCACTTCGAAGGCCAGACGCAAAATCAGAAGGACTTCCAAGCAGGACGAGGCGATCGTTACGATGCTGTGAAGCCTGGAGCATCAGACATCTGGAACAAGGAAGGCGGCGTCGAGCAGATGACCGTCAACCGCAGCGAGTACAGCGCCAAGGCTGGCGAACGCTACGATGTCGTCAAGCCGAAGGAGTCGGACTTGTTGAGGGGAGACGGCCACTTCGAAGGCCAGACCCAGAATCAGAAGGACTTCCAAGCAGGACGAGGCGATCGCTATGATGCTGTGAAGCCTGGAGCATCAGACATCTGGAACAAGGAAGGTGGCGTCGAGCAGATGACCGTCAACCGCAGCGAGTACAGCGCCAAGGCCGGCGAACGCTACGATGTCGTCAAGCCGAAGGAGTCGGACTTGTTGAGGGAGACGGCCACTTCGGAGGCCAGACCCAAAATCAGAAGGACTTCCAAGCAGGACGAGGCGATCGCTATGATGCTGTGAAGCCTGGAGCATCAGACATCTGGAACAAGGAAGGCGGCGTCGAGCAGATGACCGTCAACCGCAGCGAGTACAGCGCCAAGGCTGGCGAACGCTACGATGTCGTCAAGCCGAAGGAGTCGGACTTGTTGAGGGGAGACGGCCACTTCGAAGGCCAGACCCAGAATCAGAAGGACTTCCAAGCAGGACGAGGCGATCGCTATGATGCTGTGAAGCCTGGAGCATCAGACATCTGGAACAAGGAAGGCGGCGTCGAGCAGATGACCGTCAACCGCAGCGAGTACAGCGCCAAGGCCGGCGAACGCTACGATGTCGTCAAGCCGAAGGAGTCGGACTTGTTGAGGGGAGACGGCCACTTCGAAGGCCAGACCCAGAATCAGAAGGACTTCCAAGCAGGACGAGGCGATCGCTATGATGCTGTGAAGCCTGGAGCATCAGACATCTGGAACAAGGAAGGCGGAGTCGAGCAGATGACCGTCAACCGCAGCGAGTACAGCGCCAAGGCTGGCGAACGCTACGATGTCGTCAAGCCGAAGGAGTCGGACTTGTTGAGGGAGACGGCCACTTCGAAGGCCAGACCCAGAATCAGAAGGACTTCCAAGCAGGACGAGGCGATCGCTATGATGCTGTGAAGCCTGGAGCATCAGACATCTGGAACAAGGAAGGTGGCGTCGAGCAGATGACCGTCAACCGCAGCGAGTACAGCGCCAAGGCTGGCGAACGCTACGATGTCGTCAAGCCGAAGGAGTCGGACTTGTTGAGGGGAGACGGCCACTTCGGAGGTCAGACCCAAAATCAGAAGGACTTCCAAGCAGGACGAGGCGATCGCTATGATGCTGTGAAGCCTGGAGCATCAGACATCTGGAACAAGGAAGGCGGCGTCGAGCAGATGACCGTCAACCGCAGCGAGTACAGCGCCAAGGCTGGCGAACGCTACGATGTCGTCAAGCCGAAGGAGTCGGACTTGTTGAGGGGAGACGGCCACTTCGAAGGTCAGACCCAGAATCAGAAGGACTTCCAAGCAGGACGAGGCGATCGCTATGATGCTGTGAAGCCTGGAGCATCAGACATCTGGAACAAGGAAGGTGGCGTCGAGCAGATGACCGTCAACCGCAGCGAGTACAGCGCCAAGGCTGGCGAACGCTACGATGTCGTCAAGCCGAAGGAGTCGGACTTGTTGAGGGAGACGGCCACTTCGGAGGCCAGACCCAAAATCAGAAGGACTTCCAAGCAGGACGAGGCGATCGCTATGATGCTGTGAAGCCTGGAGCATCAGACATCTGGAACAAGGAAGGTGGCGTCGAGCAGATGACCGTCAACCGCAGCGAGTACAGCGCCAAGGCTGGCGAACGCTACGATGTCGTCAAGCCGAAAGAATCCGACCTGCTTCGAGGTGATGGTCACTTCGAGGGCCAGACCCAGAATCAGAAGGACTTCCAAGCAGGACGAGGCGATCGCTATGATACAGTACGACCCGGCGCATCAGACATCTGGAACAAGGAAGGCGGCGTCGAGCAGATGACCGTCAACCGCAGCGAGTACAGCGCCAAGGCCGGCGAACGCTACGATGTCGTCAAGCCGAAGGAGTCGGACTTGTTGAGGGGAGACGGCCACTTCGAAGGTCAGACCCAAAATCAGAAGGACTTCCAAGCAGGACGAGGCGATCGCTATGATGCTGTGAAGCCTGGAGCATCAGACATCTGGAACAAGGAAGGCGGAGTCGAGCAGATGACCGTCAACCGCAGCGAGTACAGCGCCAAGGCTGGCGAACGCTACGATGTCGTCAAGCCGAAGGAGTCGGACTTGTTGAGGGGAGACGGCCACTTCGAAGGTCAGACCCAGAATCAGAAGGACTTCCAAGCAGGACGAGGCGATCGCTATGATGCTGTGAAGCCTGGAGCATCAGACATCTGGAACAAGGAAGGTGGCGTCGAGCAGATGACCGTCAACCGCAGCGAGTACAGCGCCAAGGCTGGCGAACGCTACGATGTCGTCAAGCCGAAGGAGTCGGACTTGTTGAGGGGAGACGGCCACTTCGGAGGTCAGACCCAAAATCAGAAGGACTTCCAAGCAAGACGAGGCGATCGCTATGATGCTGTGAAGCCTGGAGCATCAGACATCTGGAACAAGGAAGGCGGCGTCGAGCAGATGACCGTCAACCGCAGCGAGTACAGCGCCAAGGCTGGCGAACGCTACGATGTCGTCAAGCCGAAGGAGTCGGACTTGTTGAGGGGAGACGGCCACTTCGAAGGTCAGACCCAGAATCAGAAGGACTTCCAAGCAGGACGAGGCGATCGCTATGATGCTGTGAAGCCTGGAGCATCAGACATCTGGAACAAGGAAGGCGGAGTCGAGCAGATGACCGTCAACCGCAGCGAGTACAGCGCCAAGGCTGGCGAACGCTACGATGTCGTCAAGCCGAAGGAGTCGGACTTGTTGAGGGGAGACGGCCACTTCGAAGGTCAGACCCAGAATCAGAAGGACTTCCAAGCAGGACGAGGCGATCGCTATGATACAGTACGACCCGGCGCATCAGACATCTGGAACAAGGAAGGCGGCGTCGAGCAGATGACCGTCAACCGCAGCGAGTACAACGCCAAGGCTGGCGAACGCTACGATGTCGTCAAGCCGAAGGAGTCGGACTTGTTGAGGGAGACGGCCACTTCGAAGGTCAGACCCAGAATCAGAAGGACTTCCAAGCAGGACGAGGCGATCGCTATGATGCTGTGAAGCCTGGAGCATCAGACATCTGGAACAAGGAAGGCGGCGTCGAGCAGATGACCGTCAACCGCAGCGAGTACAGCGCCAAGGCCGGCGAACGCTACGATGTCGTCAAGCCGAAGGAGTCGGACTTGTTGAGGGAGACGGCCACTTCGAAGGTCAGACCCAGAATCAGAAGGACTTCCAAGCAGGACGAGGCGATCGCTATGATGCTGTGAAGCCTGGAGCATCAGACATCTGGAACAAGGAAGGCGGCGTCGAGCAGATGACCGTCAACCGCAGCGAGTACAGCGCCAAGGCCGGCGAACGCTACGATGTCGTCAAGCCGAAGGAGTCGGACTTGTTGAGGGGAGACGGCCACTTCGAAGGTCAGACCCAGAATCAGAAGGACTTCCAAGCAGGACGAGGCGATCGCTATGATGCTGTGAAGCCTGGAGCATCAGACATCTGGAACAAGGAAGGCGGAGTCGAGCAGATGACCGTCAACCGCAGCGAGTACAGCGCCAAGGCTGGCGAACGCTACGATGTCGTCAAGCCGAAGGAGTCGGACTTGTTGAGGGGAGACGGCCACTTCGAAGGTCAGACCCAGAATCAGAAGGACTTCCAAGCAGGACGAGGCGATCGCTATGATACAGTACGACCCGGCGCATCAGACATCTGGAACAAGGAAGGCGGCGTCGAGCAGATGACCGTCAACCGCAGCGAGTACAACGCCAAAGCTGGTGAACGTTACGCCGTTGTTAAGCCAAAGGAGTCCGACTTGCTGAAAGGAGATGGGAAGTTCGAGGGCAAAACACAGAACCAGACAGATTTCCTTCCCCAGGTTGGGAATCGTTTGGATGCTGTCCGGCCGCAAGACTCAACGCTTTTCAAGGTGAGCCTTGAGGCGTCTTATATTACCAATCATTCATTTTAGTCATCCGACAAATTCACGGTCGACTCAGTGCATCGCTGCGAATTCACCGGGGCTCCAGGGGAGCGGTTCGAAAAGCGCGTGCCAAGCGCAAACCTAAAGGTTGGGCTGGGTGACATGGAGCTGACTACACAGTATGATTCCGACAATAGCTGGCGAAGAAGACCGCGACAGGTGGGTAGAAAGTTCTCAGCCCGCAACGACCGTTTTTTTAGGCGGGAAGCCAAAGCGACATCCCGACGCTGCCTCCGTTGACTCCGGTGAAGCCATCGCAGACGCGTTCAACGGAATCGCTGTTCGTCGACACAAACATGGACTTCGGGACGAACTATCGAGAAGCCTTCCGCGGATGCCACTCGGATGTGCGATTGCAGCCCATTCGTCGTGGCGACAATATCATATCCCCCGGCGGAGGTAAGGCTTTTGCCAAAACAACAAGAACCGGATCGTCGAACCATGAGCCTTTTTGCATTTTGCTCGACCAAATTTGCAACCAAAAATTCAACCGATCTACAAGAAAGAAGCTAAAATCAATACAATTCTATTTTCCTCATTTAGCAATGGTCAGCAACACCGAGTACCGCCAGTCCTACGTCCCGACAAAGGCCGATCGGGGACAGGCCTGCCAGCCGACTTCCTCCCTAAAACTGGAAGGCGGCCAAAGTATGCATAGCAATTATGATATGGTAAGCCAAGTTTTTCTATCTTATCGATTTTCTAGGAATTCCGCTTCAAACAAGTCCAATGCCTGGCGGGTGAACTTTTGGAGAGTGTCCAACACAACCACACCGACACCCGCCATTTCCGCTTCAAAAAGCAGAATGGACCCCATCATTTTTACGATCCCAAATCAGCGGCCAGCTCTGCAAGAACAAGCACTACCCAATCCTGAACTTCTTTCATGCAATCTCTGCCAGCATTATTCGCCTATCGGGTTACTAATCCCATGTTTTGTTGTGTGCTATCAGCCGAGCTTATGCACCAAGGATTTATCTTGATGTTTTATATATTTAATAAACCTATACTATTTGCAAGTCCATCCGAAAGTGCACAACGAACAGGTCGCATGGATATGATAGAGTGGCTTTCGGCTTTCGACCAGCCGGCTAGCCGCCAGAGCGTGTTTTCCCAGCGTGTGCTAATTCCGACCCCTCGGGCGACTGATTGATTGAAGCCGAGCTGATGGTCTTTTTAGCAGTCTTATTTATTGGCGGAAGTTTTCTGTTGGGCGCTGATGGCCAATTATTAGAAGTTTTTGGATTGTCGACCGGAAATACTGGAACGAAGGAGCGAGCGCCGTTTCAAGATATTGCTAGGTAAAAAAATCTAACTATCTATCTAACTATAACTTCAGCCAATCGGTTGGGCTAATCAATTATCTGCAGACTATTCAGAAGAACCCGGACAATCAACTTGTCAAAAGGTAAGAACAAGGGTCTTCTAATAGTGAACCTCTAATAAAAACAAAGACTCAAAGCAGAACAATAAACCATATGCATATAAAAAAAAAAAAAAAAAAATAAAAAAAAAAAAAAAAAAAAAAAAAAAAAAAAAAAAAAAAAAAAAAAAAAAAAAAACCCAAAAAAAAAAAAAAAAAAAAAATTTTAAAAAAATTTTTTATCATCCACCTTCCATATGCAAATAAACTTATCGAAATCTTTAGATTACAAAGCCCTTTGCCGCAAGTAAACTTTGTCAACGGATTACCCGTGATCCCGGGAGTTGTCGGGTCGTTGCCCGGCGCCGGGTCCTGTTTGCCAAAGGGTTCGCCTTTGGTGAAACAACGGTAAACCAATTTCAGTTTTACTTGTCCCTAGTTATTTGTATATATCTTTTTAGCTCACCGAGTTTCTTTCAAAATATTGTCCGCAACATTCCGGGCGCCCATGATTACTTATCGTCATTTTTGCCATCCCCGAAAGTCGACATTGACGCTCTCTATGGCAACTATCATTGGGTAGACTTTCATTGACGAATTTTACGCTTTTTAGGCCATATATACCCCTTCCGTACACGATCGTTTCTGCCCTTTGACTGAATGTACGCATTTCCATTAATTTTTAATAAAATCACTGATTTTAAGTCGCTCCATCGGCCAAAAAAGGGAACGCGACCGCATTCAGTGTAGCGGAAAAGTTTCGCACTAAAAATGAGAATGGTGGCGAAAAGGTAGTTTCTTTCTGTTGCGGTAGCTTCACATTTTTCTCTAGGTAGCGCTTGGCTACGGGCTTATGAATAACGGCAACACCTATGTTTACTTCCAGGACGATCCTTGCCCATGTGGGATAATTCGGCTTTTAGTATCTTTTAGATGAAATTGTAATCGTAGGACCAAAGCACCAATCTGGACAGTATGAATACGTGGTGCTGTCGAACTGGGCCCGGTCAGTCTCGGGCTACTTCTAGTTATATAAGGACTATTACAGGTTTCCAGTGATCGCTATGGCGCGCGACATTCGAAGCTTTTACAAGGCGCACAAGGATAAGCTGGAGGATGCGCTGACGAAGGAGGGATTCTCGACTGAATATGCTGGGTATACTTCACAAGCTGTTTTTAATCGTCTTTTGCAATTAGCTTGACGACCGGGCACCTCTCTTACGTCGACTGGTCAAAGTGCCGGCCCGCCACTCCAGTGTCGTACCTTCGCAACGTTTTGACCGAACTTTTCGGCTAGGAAAGAATTTCATATTTATACCAGCACCGATGAATAAATTATCACAGCTTTGTACAAACATCACAAGGTATGGCGATCACGAACGAGTTCAGGGAATATTTGGTTGGTCACAGGACATAGATGAGGATATGGCATACAATCAAAATGCACTACGTATCCGCTTGGGATTGCCTTGAGCTTCTGGGCTAGGAAGAGACCGCGGTTGCACACCGGGCAGTTGCTGTCTTCGTCGACCTGAAAAGAGGCGTAGTTTGGAATGTTTTGTGCTTTGGAAATTCTAGCCCAGTGCAAAACTCAGTCAACTCACATAAATTGGCTTTGCATCAGGCTTCTCTAGTATAGGCTCTGCGCCATGATCCGCAAACGATTTGGCGAGCTCCAGCATCTTTTGTTTTGATCCCGAGAGTGATAGTGCACTTCTGACGAAGGACGAGATTTCTTTCACCTTAACTCCTCGATCTACAGGGCAGAATAGGTTTACCTTGATCGTAGACGGCAGGTTCCGCAGCACTTCTTGCGGATCTGCATAACCCGCCATGCCATTTACAAGCCGAATCAAGGTTTCCTCGCTTGTTTTGATCCTGAAACTGTCTTTACTATGAACACTTGTGTCCAAACCTTGGGTTGGTCAAGTATTCGCTCAACATGATCGTGCCCAGCTTCGGATTTCCTTGTCCGAACCTTGAACAAACCTCCTCGGCCAATAGAATTTCCTGCTCTTTCAACAGCTTAGGTACGGCAGTTACAGGGTCCGCCTGACCAGAAAAATCGGTATAATGCCCAAAAACTTGCCCTGGCGTCCAGCAAAATTAATTCGACCGCCAGGCCCTTCCGGTTCTTGGAGGCTAGCAAGATATCATCTTTGTAGAGGGAATCGGAAGTCAGCAAAAGCTCGCGAAGTTTCTTTTTGATATCATTTGTTTCATCTAAAAGGCTTTACGGGTCTTTGGAGTTGTCAAACCGGTAGGGTTACTTTTCAAGTAAAATAGAGCAAGTTTCGTATCCCATTTCCGGCTCCCGAGCCTCCGTTCGTTTTCCAAGAACCATAGATAGAGATCAGAATGGGGTTCCAAAATCTCTGCTACCTTCTCGGAGTCGTGTTTTCCGTGATATTTTTCCAGAAACTATAGAAAAGGGAAGTTATATGCACACAAAATTCGCTACCTCTTTTGTCCGATCAGGTGCTATTTTGCACAGCCAGGTTAGCGCCGACAGGAAATTTTGCTGTTTTTCGATCATGGGCAGATATTCGAAGACCGTTTCAACGGCAAAATCTGCATCTTTGAGATTATCTTCTGCCAGTTTTTGCCACAGTTCGAGTGCCTACAAAAGGCATTGGTCAAACAAATTTGAAATACCTTTTCTTGTTTCCCCAAATGAAACTTGACGATAGCACCCAAGGCCGCTTTCTCATATCG